TATATGAACATCAAGAGATAGTCCAATTGTGTGTAGGTATCTCCAAGTCTATTGCAGTCACCAATCTTTTTTAAATTACTTTATGATAAGATTCTATGAAGGCTAATAATATTGCATGGGACTTATATTATATGATAATCTCTAAGTTCTGATTCATCGACGTATTGAAAACTAGGGTCTATCTTGAAAAAGTAGTAGCTAAATATGTCCGACTCGATATAAGTATACATCTATAAGACCAAAAATTTATTTGACGATTTTGGCTTAAACAAAATTGGCATTTACAGATTAATATAGACGCGAAGTATTAGCTAAGTAGTTATTTATATAATCAAATTGATTATCAATGTGTAATACTTGGGTACCAATTCTACCAAATCAATAAAATTGGTGGTACTTAGATCAAATGCTTTTCTGGATTGCCTGATAGCGTATATGGTTTCAGCACCATTTTAAAGAAACGCTTAGTTAAGGGTATCCCGCTTATTGACCAATATATAGCTTCCTTGAATAACGAAAAAGTTGTATATATAAAAAGTAAGAAGAAACAGTAGAATATTTAATCAGCTGCTGCCCAGCTCTCGCCAGATGTAGATGTAAATATCTCTGCCAATTATGTTAGTAGGACTCTTGAATAGTTCCCGACGTTAAGATTAAACATTTTCTGTGATATATTTAGAGTTCAAAATGGTTCCATAATAAACAAGCAGTTAATACCATGTAGGTATCAAGTAATAATGAACCCGTAGGGTTCAAGTGAGTTGGTCAACCCAACCTAAATTAAATGATTGAATTTTATTAAAAGTAAATTAATGTTGATTTAGTTTATGTTGTCTAAAAATTGAATGTATTTTTGTATTAAATGTAGTGTGTATTTTATGTATAAATAAAAAAATGTTTACAAAAAACTTTTTTTTTTATTTTTAATTAAATACGCAGTGATCGGGAAATATCAAGTGCTGCCTTTAATTTTAAACAAAATATTGAAAACAAAATATATAATAAAATTCAACAACAAAATGACAACATGCAAATGTCGTCATTTGCATATACCCAAGTCATCATTTTTTATATTAATTTTAATATTTCGTAAAAATTTAAATGGAATTTTTAGAAAAAATACTTTAACCACGTCAAAACACACATTTAAAATGAAATATATTTAAATAACTATATATATAAACATATGCTCAATTGATTCATGATCTTACTAAATTATTTCCCACAAAACAAATTAATTTTCCAGCTACAAAAAATTAAAAAAAAATATCCATTCTCATAAATTAATTAATTTCAAGATTATTATAAATAAAAATGATGTTTTTTTTTATAATTCATATAAAAATTTACATAAATATGTAAGTATATTTATAACAAATTGTAGTCATTCATGACAAGGACGTTGAGAACTCTTCTCATATTTGAGTATTCAGGTCAAAGTAAATTTATTTTCAATAAATCAAGATACGTGTTATATATCAAATATTTTTTTTGTATATTTAATATTATTATTTTCAAATCAAAATTTTTAAATCAAAATATAATCTTAAAATTGTAATTATAATTACACAAGTAATTAAATTAATTATAATATAATTAATGTAATAAATTATATTTTTATGGATTTTTATTATATTTCATGGATTTTTGGTTGGTATGGTTTAGGTTTAGGTTTGAGTGACAGGTCTGTGCACTAGCCCACTTGATCCAAATAATAACCTACTGTAATAGAAGTATGTAATACGCTAATTAACCCCGCCCTAACAATCCTCAAGTCCACTTTTGGACTCTCAGGAAGATATGCTGATTTAAGGTCCGTCATCAACGAAAAGACAAATAAATGATATGTTTTTTTTTTAGCTTAGTTAAAGCCTAGTGTGGGGTAGAGATAAGCCCGCCAGCCATTATAGAGTAAAAGTGCAAAATAGCACTAACTCAAGAAGAAGAAGAATCAAGAAGAAAATAAACAGTGCACTGGCTTCTTGTGGAGAAGATTACTGCGACAACACCTGATCTTTGTGTTTCTAACCGACTCTTACTGGACAAAACACACTCGAATGTTTGCTTTTAACTGCAAACTATACTATAATATATAAGTATATAATTATTATATTATTATACCTATATTATATAATTATACATTGTACAACTACAACATAATATTAAGAGGAGCCTAATAACTCCTCCTAGTCCTGTACCATACCTAATCTGTTGGCGATCTGCAAGACTTCCCCCTGAGTACCATTAAAAGCTTTGCCAAGTGATTTCAACCCTTGAGTTTTCAATTATACGGTAACACAATCGCATCCCTTGGGATCTCCAGTATAACCTACCTACCTAATGAAACTACTGTTTAAATTATAAAAATTATGAATACATTATGTTATGTTAAGAATGAATTTGTCTTCTCTAATTAATTCTATATTTGTCTGTTTTTGAGTAATTAGCAATTCGATGTCATTTACCGACCTCTTTTAAAAAAAATCATACAATATTATGCTGTGTTTCGGAACTCTTAATTAACCTTAAGTAGTAGACGACGGATAAAGATTTCTAAAAATAAGGAAATATCTTTTTAGAAAACATTTATTTTTAGATATTTTCCAAGCTAATGTCCTTTTATGCAGCACTTTATTTGTACTGTGAAGGTACCATTCATCGAAGCTAACAAACAAATTTTCCATGTTGCCTTTTCGAGAGCGATTCCATGCAGTTTCATTGCATTTCAAATGCAACTGCATTTGCAATTATTTTTGTTTTATTTCATTTATTTTTTTTTTTGCAGTCCTAAAAAAACGCATTTGTAT